TTTTCATTGGTTTTTCATGCTTGTCGAAATTTGCAAGTTCAGCGTGAAATAAAACAGGTCGATCGATGAATGCGATAAATAAATCTGCAACTTCAACCTCAAAGGGCATAATTTTATCTATTGTATGCACATGTGCGTGCATACACACATACACACGCGCACACGCAGCGTAATTGCACAGATGTGGGATTTCTCGTTTGCACATGACACATTACACGGGCCGCTTAATGACGATGATATCGAAACCGCGATAGACGGACAGCAAGATTGTCGATTGCCACGGCTTAGTTGCGGTGTAATTTGCCAAATGGCCGTATTAATCTGTCTAATGGATACCTACCTATCCTATTCGGACAAATAGCCACCATTTCGAAGCGACGTGTTAATTGAATATGCACAAAGTATGGCTGCGATCGATTTGTATAGCGTGCGATATTCGGTACGATAGCGAACAGGAGTGATTCGTATCGTAGGCGACGAAGTAGGGGAAACGAGCAACGGTCTGTCACAGCACGGATGTTTCTACTGTGGGTTTGTCGGATAATCATCGCGTCCGTCGAGCTTCTTGTGTATTTCTGGCACAGACAGGCTATCGAGATAATCGAATATTAAATGAATCTTAAATAAATAATTACTTAAGATTAAAGACTTAGCAGTAGTAATTTGTAGCATCAAAAAGCAATAGCCTGTGAAAGTCTGTAAATTATAAGCCATTTGAGGTTGGAATTTGAAATTTGAGGTTAGAAAACTTTTACTAATTTCTACAAATTTGTCGATCGAACGTTAAAAAGAATTCTTAATACTAATATAAGCAACAAACACATTATCGTCTTAAAACAAAATGATGACTATAATTAATTTATTCTAAATAGGAAGAATGTAATTGGAAATGTTTATGTGTAAGTCTCAATTGTAGATCAGCTAATTATTTCGAATCTCTATAAAATCATATTATGTTTGATTCTGAATCAATAGAAAAAAATGACATGTTAAATATATGATATAAGATCTTTGAAGAAATACAGATTTTTTTAATTCTAAAAACTAATTTCATTAAGTATGATAATATGATATGAATATTAATATGAATTAAATATGAATTAAATATGATGAGAATATTAATTAAATATGATGTAGGTAGCAAATAAAATTCTAAATTTTTTTCTTAAATATTAATAATGTTTATGTAATGTATATGTAAACGTAACCTTAAAATATAATAATAGTAAAATAACTAAAGGATGTAAAAAGAAGTTTGTCTTTCATGTTTTCATTATAATGTGTTCTTTTTTAAATTTAATTTAAAATTCAAACTTGATGTATATATAAAATTGGAACCGTTATCTTATATTTTAATATTGAAATCTTTTGATCTTTTAAATATAACGGAATTTGCAGAAATTATGTAAAACAAAAATTTCCATTCGTGGAAGATGAAAATAGACATGGATTGTTGTGAGTTGTTTAAAAATTTTAACATCGCATATTAATTATGAACATGATCTATCTATCTATTATTCAACAACAATTATACAAATCTATTATTTAGTTTATTTAATTTCGTTAATTGTAATTAAAGTTCAGGCCGCGTTGATTTTGATGTTTCGCCAATAGTTTGAGTCCGGAAGAGCTATATAAAAAATTCATGACTGAAGAGCGACAAAAATTTCGGGTTGACATGCATTGTTGCTTTTTGAAAATTGTTTATCCTCTAAGTTGATAGTCAGTTTCTCGCATAATACCGCAGCTAGTAGATAACTGTCAATTCACCTGTTTTCTGTTTAACGTACAGCGCTTTATGTAACGCGAAAGTGTTGTTATTTCGGAGCGATATCGAATCTTTTTACTGCTTGTTTGCTCCCACATCGACGATAAAACAAACATGGCGCGACGTTGGCGCGGAGTTCACTGTTTTCACTGATTGTCCCCTTGTTTTCTCATAAAATATATGAACGACCGACGTAGAAACCCAATAAAACAAAGTTTCTTACATGTTTATGGGTCACACAAAAAAGATTATTGTAAGTGTTGGTTAATTAGTAACTAAATGGTAATTATATATGTGTATATATATATATATATATAAATGTGTACGTATATATACAGGGTGTCCCATTTTAAAGGACTCACTCAAATATCTCAGAAACACTGTGTTAAATCGAAAAATGCTTAAGACAAAAGTTGTTTAGTTTGGGGAAGGGGGACATAGGACAGCGATAGTATTTTGTTCATAGATGACGCCACTTTCAAGATATTCACTAATTATCAATTTTCTTAAATGGAAATCCCAGTTTTTTATTATATCATCCTTTTCTACTAATTAATTTGAGCAACTTTTGTCTGAAAGATTTTATTATTTGCTTAATATATATTGAGATATTTAAGGAAAACTTGGTAACTTTTCCAACATTTATCTTACGATATCTCGCTAACTATTCGTCGAAAGAAAAAATAGTATTAAACTTTTTTACTTTATTTACTATCAAGAATATATTACTATAATAGTGCCCTAACTTTTATTAGTTTATCGACCTTTGGAAATTTCAAAATTATTAAATTAATAAAAGTTAGGGTACTATTATAGTAATATATTCTTAATAGTAAATAAAGTAAAAAAGTCTAATACTATTTTTTTTTTGATGAATAGTTAGCGAGATATCGTAAGGTAAACGTTGGAAAAGTTACCAAGTTTTCCTTAAAATATCTCAAAATATATTAAGCAAATAAAAAAATATTTCAGACAAAAGTTGTTTAAATTAATTGGTAGAAAAAGATGATATAATAAAAAATTTGGATTTCCATTTAAGAAAATTGATAATCAGTAAATATCTCGAAAATGGAGCCATCTATAAACAAAATGCTATCGCTGTCCTATGTCCCCCTTCAGGTTAAAAAGCTTTTGTCTTAAGCATTTTTCAATTTAACGCAGTGTTTCTGAGATATTTGAGTGGTTCCTTTAAAATGGGATACTCTATATATATATATATATATATATATATATAATATATAATGACTGAATTGTATGAATTGACTGAATTGGTTTTTACAAGGCTATAAATTATATTTGAAGCTTCATAAGGTTTTCCTAAGTTTCGAAGCTTTGAATTTCTGAAGCTTTGAAACATTATATTCGAATAACAAAATTTTCATCGCTTGAAAATTCAGAGCTTCCAAATCGAATTATTTGAAACTTTGAACTTTGATCTCAAATGTCGAATTATATCGCAACTTCAAAACTTCACATATACTAAACAGTGTTACTTCTAATTCATGATGCCTTATCTAAGTATAAATATATCGTTAGATAATAATAATTTTACATATTCGTATAATAGCGATCATGTAGCATTTTATTGCACTTCTCACAGTTAGTCCTATTGAATACACGAATATTCGATGTTTCGAATATTCATGTAGTATTCAAAGATTCGAAGTTTTCGAGTCAAGTCGAATTAAACAAAGCTTCGAATATATCAAATAATATTACCTCTAGTTTATTACGAGCTTCCTCTTAAAAAGACGTGCGTTTAAAATGATACCGTCAAATGCTAACGTCGACCACTTTCCAGACAGCATAAATAATGCAAGTACTTCCCCGGCGAGTTCTGGAGTCCGTTAATAATAACGGGCATGAAGATATGCAGCGCCACTTAAGCAGTCGTTTTCCGCGAATCCGCGTGCGCTCGATTTGACATTTGTATTATTAAATCTCAATATCATTTCCTTGGTGAAACATATCTCTCCCCGCTGCCGCGAGCCGAAAGATTGCTACATAAATAATGGTCGTCCATTGTGCTCTAAATTCTAACCGAAGCGCTTTCCGGGGGCGGGCGGGTTCAACCTTACCTGGAAGGCGGCCGGGTTAAAAATTCAAATCAAGCCGGTGTGGCTCCGCATCGATTTCATACACGGCATGCGGCACGAGCCTTTCTCCCAGTACTCGTGAGGCTCGTCTAAGCTGTACTTTGGGCCTGAATTCAACATCCCATTCTCGCTATCCGTAACCAATAACCGCTGATAACACCGAGAAAATAGTGCATTATACTTTCGAGTCTCTGTCTCACATCGACATTAGTTTCTCCATTTCGATCATACAAAATAAAAACGTAAACTGTCGGGAGACAGTTCCAACTCTTCACCTTTAAAGAGCACCGCCGCGGCGTCATCTCAAATTCCAAATAAAATTTTGGAAAAAGGTGTTGCTGCGGCGGCGTCTTTCGAGCTTCAAATTTTGTTTTAAACTTATCAAGCTGAAAATTCACTTTTTTTGAGTTTTTTGAAGGAAATGTTGAGACCTTTACGTTTATGTTTGAAGCGAAAAAAGTTAGTCCTGTGGCGCACACGATATTCTTAGACCGTAAAAAGAATAATTATTTGTAATTGGTCAATTTATTTACCACTTTTATTACTTGCCATAAACCTTAAAATTCCCTTTTCTTCGCCGCGGCTATCTTGATTTACGACGTCAGAAGCTGGACAATATTCTCTAAATATTCTTGCAAAATACGTTGGAATAAAAAACAAACATGTTCGCAAAATGACGCTTGCAGTAAATCGAGCAGATCTGTAGAATAGTGCAAATACTTTCCTTCTGCTCTAACAATAAATAAGTGTCCAATTAACACAGAATTACGGGAGAAGACAGACGTTAATTTTACGATTATCTATTGCTTGCTAGAGCAAGAGGAAAATGTCATTATTTCGTAGATCCACTCGACCGACTGCAAATCGATTCATTTCATGGATATATTTTTTTATTTTAACATATTTTGCAAAAAAAATTGTAACGCGTATTTTCTCGCTTTTGACGTCACTAAAAGTTCCAAAGTAAGGGACCAGGAGTCTGAAATGTGTTCATTGCGCGGATTACGAGGCCAGCACCACGGTGAGGTACCGTTTGCCGTGACATTTCGTAAAAATATAGTCAAAGACTGCAGAACGCGGTCGGTCGGCTGCGCTCTTCATCCTGCCGCACCAATCATTGTGTTTTACTACTTCAGGCGAGGAGAGGGAGCTCCGACTGAACGAGGCGAGTTTCGAACGGGCGGCCACGTTACTCCGGCGGGTTCCGGAATTCACTATAGCCGCCGCGCTGCGCCAGGAGAAGGCCAATTCCGGGACGATCGTCGCCTTTTCGCACGGGAGTAATAGGTACGAAAATAGCGAAAAATTTCTGCTCGCCTACCCTATCTTGCGTCCCTTAGAAACACCGCATGGGAATTCGGCGCTCGGAATGGAGGCTGAAGAGCCTGTGACCTATTTCGAATACCGTTGAATGACGCAGATCGCAACCAAGAAACACTTTATATCCCAAATCTAAGATATTTTGATTAAGGCTCTCTCTCTGCGCGATTCTTGCCGTTTTAAATCATCTCAATTAACACACGTTTAAACGTATTCAATTATAATTAAAAAAATGGGCCGGGTTTTTCCCGTAAAAGAAAGATCTTTAAAAATAATAGGGTAAATTTCTCTTTTTTCTTTGAATAATGATAATGACAACAGATTGCCTTCGGAAAAATAATTTTCGCAACTCTTATTACAGATTAAATAGTTATAGGAGAATATTAAATCATGCAATTTAATACATTTAAATGTGTTAAATGTTGTCTTAAAAAGTGTGAAAAAACGCATGAAATGAACTCTTTAATCAAATTGCACGCTGATGTGTATAAAAATAATGCTTGAATTCGCAAATTTTTATGTTTTTGTTCGTACATTGAAAAAAGGAATAGTTAATCTTAAATTATAGTCGTTTTCATCTACCATATTTCTACTATATTTCATCTATTATATCTATCAACTATATTTCCTGGTTGTTTTAATAAAAAGCTAATATTAGCACTATGTACATAAAGTTATTACCATGAATACTATAGTAACAATTACTAAAAGATGGTTCTCTTGACAATTGTTCTTTTATTATGCGATTACAGTTGCAAACAAAAACTAAATATTTTTTCTCAGTGTGCTTTATGAAGGATATTACTGGCGAAGTTAAAAATTTTTAACGCGTTATTTGTGACGTCGTTATTATAAATTGTTATAAAAGTTAATTTTTTTACTAACGACTTGACAACCATGTTATATTTTTATTAGTAATTTTATTAGTAACGATATTTTTCGGTTAATGATAACGAATATAATTGTTACTTTGTTATTTTACACACGTAAAACGTACAAATGGGTGACAGCAATTATTTCTTTCTCTCTCTCTCTCTCTCTCTCTCTCTCTCTCTCTCTCTCTCTCTCTCTCTCTATCTCTCTCTCTCTCTATCTCTCCCTCTCTCTCTTTCTCTCTCTCTCTCTCTCTCTCTCTCTCTCTCTCCCTCTCTCTCGTAAAAGTATCTTCAGAACTTGATAAAGAAGCAATGGCAACTGTAACGATTAGTTTTGTTTTCCGAATAACGATAATAGCAATAAATTACCTTCGGAAAGTATCATAACTTATGTGACCTTGATTACAGATTAAGCGATTAGAGCAATAATCTTGCCGATGCCTCGCCTACCACATACGCGTTTATTTATTAGTTATTTGACATTTCCGTATTTATTTACGATTTTTATGTAATTTTTAAACACAATAAAGTTATTATTATTATTATTATATTTATTATTATTATTATGTTTGTACGATGTAAAAAGATCGATGTTACGTTTTCCACGAACCATCATCAGAATTTCACGGGTGTAAAGCCATTTCTATAGAGCGTAAACCTTGCGTAAACGACCGCTGAACATTTCGTACTTTCGTGCTTCACACTGTCACCCAGTCCCGATATTACGCGTGCAACGCGACAATTTTAGTGTCACATCAGCTTTAATCATGTCAGAATAATATAACAGGTTATTCTGCACGCGACGGTGAAGCACCACTGCTCGCGGTGGAGTAACACGCAACGATTGTTTCGTGTGTATATTATTACTAGGTGCGCAACTAAGTTTCCGGGTTCTTTTGATCAATGAAAAATGGAATATTCCAAGAGAAATACAAAAAATGGTTTATTCAAAGTATCGTCCCTCACTAGCTACACATTTTTGCCATCTCTCTGGCAATACATGAATACCGCGACGATAAAACGACGCGTCTTTGGACCGAAACCATTCATCCAACCAATTTTGCACTTCTTCGAAATTGGCCAAGTGTTGCCCAGCCAAACCATACGCCATCGACCGGAACAAGTGATAATCGGAAGGGGCCAGGTTTGGCGAATACGGCGGGTGTGGTAGCAGATCCCATTTCAGCGTTTTGATGGTATCCTGGATGATGAAAATGTGATGGCACGGAGCAATATCACTCGTTCGTGTCTCGTGTCCTATTCTGGCCGTTTTTCGAGCAATGCATGGTCCAAATTGATCAGTTGTTGTCGGTAGCGATGCCCATTGACAGTTTCGCCCGGTTTCAGCAGTTCATAGTACACGATTCCTTTCTGGTCCCACCAAACGCAGAGCATTGTCTCCTTTCCGAAGCGATTTGGCCGTGTCGTCGATGTTGATGCTTCGCCAGGTGAAAGCCACGATTTTTTGCATTTGGGATTCTCGAAATATATCCACTTCTCATGCCAGTAACAATTCGATGCAGGAAACTCTTTCTTTCATGCCGCAAAAGCAAAATTTCGGAAGTGGCTCTTCGATTTTCCATCTGTCTCTCAGTCAACTCATACGGCACCCATTTTCCTTCCTTTTGAATTTTTCCCATGGCATGTAAACGTTTGGAAATACCTTGGCGAGTCATGTTTAATGCCGCTCTGCAAGTTGATCTTGTGTTTGCGTATCATCTTCATCCAATAACGCTTGCAGATCGGCGTCCTCAATTGTTTTTGGTCTCCTCAATTGGTCTTCCGGAGCGCTCCTTGTCCTCAGTGTTGAAATCGCCACTTCTGAAGCGTTTAAACCAATCTTCACAGGTAGTTTTCGATGGTGCATGTCCGCCGTAGACCTCCTCAAGCAAACGACGTGCTTCAGCTGCACTTTTTTTCAAGTTAAAGTAGAAAAGCAAAGCTTCCCGCAAATGCTGTTTATTTGGCACAAAATTCGACATCTTTGCTGTTAGAAAAAAAATTTTTGCGTTGCGATATGTGTTGGTATTACGACTGGTTATTGTTAACAGATGTCCAAGCTATAAAAAAAACACAAATTCAGACATGTATGTCGACTACATGTGTCGTTAGCGCCATCCATGTGTGAAACCCGGAAACTTAGTTACGCACCTATGTAGTACAAGCGTTTGGTATTTCGGCCTTACGTTAAAATTATTTTCACTTGGCGCCTTTCGCATTCAATAGAAGAACGTGTTTTCTGAAAATTATTAAAAAGATTATTGAAAGAAGATCCTGAAGATTATTAAAAAACAAATTGTCATATTGGATACGCATTGTAAAACTCATCGAAGAAAAGTTGCAATCTTTAATCAGCTGACTGTACGAGTTCGGGCATTAATTGATAATTGATTAAAATCTTAGCTGTCCAAAATAATTTAACCGATTAATGAAATTAATTAAGAATATAATGTTACAATAGCGCCATGACTTTTGTTAATTTGATGATTTTGAAATTTCCAAAGATCGAAAAGTTAACAAAAGTTAGAGTACTATTGTAATAATATATTTTTGAGACTAAATAGAGTAAGAATGTCGAGTACTATTTTTTCTTTCGACAAATAGTTAGCGAGATGTAAGTCAAATATTGAAAAAATTACCAAGTTTTCCTCAAATATCTCTCATTTGTTTTCTTTAATCAATCAGCTGATAAATCACATGTGAGGGAGAGAGAAAGACAGAGAGAGTGGGAAAAAGAGAGAGGGAGGGAGGAGAGAGAGAGAGAGAGAGAGAGAGAGAGAGAGAGAGAGGGAGGGAGAGAGGGAGAGGGAGAGGGAGAGAGAGAGAGAGAGAGAAATTGATAGTTAATATCAAGTGTCTATTTATCAAATATATCTATTTATCAAATATATTAAAATCTGAGAAAATATTAGAAATATCAATTAAAATCTTTTAACAAATTAGAAAAATGTAATTAAGACTTTCAAGTGTTTTCCAATAAAATTAATTTGATATACTTTAGCTTAATACATACGTTATTTATTTATTAATTTATTTTTACGGCGGAGTTATTTGATCGCTATTTGGCATTCGCTTTATATTTATTGTAGGTGTGAACAATATCACGTTTTTAATTTTCTGCTCTTGCACTTTTAGTGAAAAACTAGAAAGCGATAAACGAGGGTCTTGTGAAAATATTATAAAATAATTATAAGATTGTTATATAATTATAAGTTGAACTATAAGTAATGATAAAATAATTATAAGTTGATTATTGTATTTTCGAAAGTGAAAACTAGACGGAGGTAAATTTCTTCGTGTTATATATTAACTATTATCTTTTCAATAGTACTACACGTCACGAATCATCTGCCTTGATCCTTTCGTCTTCAACCGTCCTCAACTCGTGATGCGAGTAATGTCATTCTTGATCAAACGGGAAATGATTCGCGATTGAATGTTTCGATGAATTTCGCTATGATTGTATTGTTAACATATCAACAAACAATGACGTTTACATGATAAACGAATCGAGCTGACGGCATCGATGAAATAACAGTTGGCTAATTACACTCAAACACTCGACTGCATAATAGGCACTAAAATCTCTCTATTGCAATATATTATACATTCTATGCGACATCTATCACTCATCATTGCTGATGTCAGGTTTTGGAAATAACACGTTGTATATTACAAAAACGCCTTTCTCGAATATAATTAACTCATTATACAATTACGATTACAAACATGTTTTTCTTAGTGGAAAACTCGCTTGTCTGACATTTAGATGCGCGATTAAACCTCATTTATTAAAATAAATTTATCTTAAAATTTAGCAAAGTTTCGTCATTTTATACTTATATATCTCAGTGACAGGCCTGTTTCAAATTTTTAATCTGTATTGTCTTTCTTACATAAGAAGATGACATTTCGTCCTTGTTGTTTACGGAACATGTTGCATAAAATTGACAGAACTACACGAGTCTCTAATATGTGAAATCGTGGAATAAATTACACGAATTTATTGTTCAGTAAACAATAAATGATTGCGAATAACAACGGTGCTTGCCAGGTACTTGGAGCTGCAGAGCAGCGGTCGCAAGGACGAGCTTCGACTTCATTACTTATCACGCCGAGACGGAATCGTACACGTCGAGGCATTCCCTTTTCGAGTGGCCGACGGCGACTGGCACAGAGTCGCCTTAAGTATAAGCGGCTCGCAGGTCGAGCTGCTAGTCGACTGTCACCCCTTGTATAGGCGACTGCTGAGGCCTGGTCCACCCGACACTAACTTCACTTTGCCGCAACTCCAGCTCTGGGTCGGACAAAGGAACGCCAGGCATTTTCTTTTCAAGGTGAGGCGCCTTCTCAATGTTCACCTTGTCTCTTTCTCACCAACAAAAAGATATGTGATCGATCCAAATTCAATTGAGAGAATATTTGGTCTCCTTTGTTTCTTTTTTAATTCGTCTCCTAATGGCTTTATTTAATTATTAATTATTATTATTATTATTACTAATTTTTTTAATTTCCTCCTTCTTCTAATGTCTTTCTTCATTCTCCTCCGGTAAACATCGCCTTTGTAGGGGAAATAAATATTTTACGGATTTAAATTTAATCGAATGTTTGATCTTGTTTAATTCTTTTGGAATTCTTCCTTTAACTAATTCTCTACTTAATTGATAATTTTTAATATTTTTAATTCCTATTCTTTCAATTTCTGCCTTTTTCAAATCTCTGCTCGTAAAAACTATATTTTTCGTTATTACCAAAAAACTTTGCGGAAAAACTCGGCCGTTTGAAGTTTACTGTATGATTGTCGCGCCGCAGGGTGCTTTGCAGGACGTCAAGCTGATACCAGGACCACACGGCTATCTCTCTCAGTGTCCCCAGCTCGATTCGTCCTGTCCAACGTGCGGTCAATTTTCGATATTACAGAACACCGTGGAGCAACTGATGTACAATCTCAACGAGTTGACTCGTAGGGTGAGTAATTGGACGATTTAACGGTCACCAAGGGTGCGATGAGGTCCCAAACACGATTCAGAATTACAAATCGCTGTGTATTTATCGAGAGTTTACGCTTGTAAATGTCACGCTTAAATCGGTAACTACCCTTTGTTCATAGACGTTCTTCCTTTCAGCTAGCCGCTGCAGAGGGCAGAATAAGCAAAGTGGAGGAGTGCGAGTGCCAAAAGTCATGTAGGGTGAACGGCACTGTCCACGAGGACGGCGCGACGTGGCAGGAGGACTGCCAGCAGTGCTCTTGCGTCCACGGTGAGATCAACTGCAAGCCGATACCCTGCGCCCCGACCAACTGCAAGCACCCTATCCTTCCTGAGGGACAGTGTTGTCCAATTTGTCTCAGTAAGTGGAGCATCACCTTTCTAGCTTCTATTCTTATCTTTCCACATTTGATGTCGGTTCCTATTAGTAATCGCCGCGCACCGATTGTAATTCCTCCACAGAAAAAGAAGCTCTTTATTTTTTTTCTACCAAAGTTGAAGTCGCCAAAATATGAAGATGATAAGAACCAGCTTACAGTTGTTAAGTGCAACAGAATCTTTTTTTGAATTGCACTTGCTTATACGTGATTGAAAAATATTTTTTTTCCTTAATATCTGTAATTTGGCTCTTATTGTTCTTATATTTAAATCTTAATCTTAGAACTCTTAATGTGAATTTTCCATTGTCAATTCCAAGTCATGATTTTGAAAACACTTGATAAAACAGGAGGATAATTCTATGATGTTTAGAAGTATGGTTTTTTCGCCGAGAATAGTGTGTCAAATCATTCATGTCCCATATGTTTTGGCTTTTGAACGTTGCGTAGTTATTGGCTTATAAAAGCGCGTTGCGTTACGGAAGTCTTCGACGAGGAGATAATCGTTGTTGCTCGAGCGTTGCAACATCGCGCGATTTATCATGCGATATTATCCGGTCCTTTGGCTTTTGCGCACGCGGCTGGCTGATTAGTCGACGACATAGCATCTTTCTTGTCGTCCCATCGACCGCCTGTCTCCCGTGTCGCGCGTTATTTATTTCCTCGTTTACATTCGCCTTCAGGACAGTGTTTATTGCACAACGTAATATACGATCACGGCGAGAAGGTCTCGCCGAAACAATGCACTGACTGCGACTGCCAGGACGGTAGCTTCGTCTGCAAAAGATACGACAACACAACCAGGTGCCCACCACTGCCGTGTCCACCCAGCGAGCAGATCAGCGTTGCGGAGGAGTGCTGCAAATTTTGCCCAGGTGGGTTGATTCTCGCTCGGCGGACCGGACGCGGATGGCAAATTTTTTAACATCTTTAGAATCTATCGCAGGGGAAATTCCGATGGACACACACCGCTCCGGAACATGGAAATCCCGATATTTGGAAACCAGAACAATCTTCCGGGAAATTGTGTTTTACTGGAATTCGAATACCGAGATAATATTCCGAAATACAATTTTCCCAAAGCATATAATGGTTCCTATTCATCTACCCATTTAAATATATTTTTGCTATACTTAAATGAATAGATACTAATATACTCGATTGTGTAGAGTGTTTAGAAACACCTTCTCAGAAGGATTTTCTCTCGACTGGTTTGAAGTTGATAGAAATAAATTATACTTATATACAGGGTGTATAAAAAGTACCGAGACGGTGAAATGTCTCGAAAATTAAGCATTTTAGAAAAAAATGTTTCAGACAATAAAGTTGTATAGCTTTAAGAAAGACATAAAACAACTACATCATTTTGTTTACAGACGCAAACATGGCGCCACTTTCGAGATATTAACTGATAATTATTTTTCTTAAATGGAAATCCCAATTTTTTATCACATCCTTTTTTTCCAATTATTTTTGACAATTTTTTAATTTTGACAACTTTGTCTGAAACATTTTTTTACTCACCTAATATCTTTTGAGATATTTGAGGAAAACTTGATAATTTCTTGAATATTTGACTTACGATATCTCGCTAATTCTTTGTTGGAAGAAAAAGTACTAAACTTTTTATTCTATTTAGTCTCAAAAACGTATTGTTACACCCTTTATATATGTCCCTTTAATTGACCCCTTTAATTGACCTGAAGTTAAAAAAATATTTTTGTCCTCCTCTAGTTATTCTTTGCGGGGTTTTTGTGAAAACATGTCTATTTTTCAAAATACTTTTATGGTAACAATATTTTTCAACTTCAAATTTGTAAAGAAGACGCAAAAATAAGATTTTTTTAAGTTTTTGAGTTACGGGATTATGAAAGAGAAGAATTAAACTGAAGACTTTAAAATTTGCGGAAAGGCCTCCAAAAAATCTTTCAATGTAAAAATTGAGAAGATATATAACATCTGACGTTATAACCGTAATGAAGAATTAAAAAAAAAATATTAATATCTTTATTAAATTCTTATTTATCAGATAAGAGTATCATTAAGAACTAATACTTAATGTCGCTTCGATTCCTGTCAACAATGACTTTTAATCTGATAACTGCAATTAAAGCTGCAATTTTATTGGAAAAAATATGTGCAAACCGTTTTAGAACTAAATCTAAAACAATCCCAATATTCCGATAAAATTTTATTTCGAAAAATTGTCTCGGTATTCGGATTTTAGTGTTATGACTTTCCAGGAAATTGTTTCCAATCTACACATACACTTTTAAAATTTCGATACATTTTTGTTTTGGGACAAACATTCCCTGAACAAATTACAACTTTTTATATCGTCTCGTTTTAGCGCAAAAATCTTACATATCGGAGGTTGAGAGTTTTGTTTAAATTCTGGACAGCCGGTCGATAGTTTTATCGAGCATATTCTTTTTCTCTTCAACGCAAATCACGTTACTACAATCAATGTTATTACAATTGACGTGCGCTACAAATTTTTTTATTGAGTCAAAATTCGTGGCGGATAAATATTCAATGCGGTATAACATCAGCTTGAATGAATGACAAGCATGAGGTGATAACAGAGTTTCGCGATCGGCAACAGCAAGAGAGAGAGAGAGAAAGAGAGAGAAAAACGGAGCAATGTTCACGTAGCTCGCGCATCATTAACTTTAATTAACCCTCTCATGCATGGAATTTCTTTTTCACCAACTCTTTAAGTCAATGTGTATGCATTCGCACAAAGTTGCGATTACATTAACAAAGCTAAATAGCTGTTATAATATGAAACGGTATTGAGGTCAACTAAACAATCACATACGTTGTACATAATTATCACGCGCATAATTATTTATGAGATCCAACTAGACGCATGTTGCGCTAATATTAACTTTAGTTTTAATATATATCGAATCTATCCGATAATTCATGTCCATTACTTATACAGCGCTGTTTTTTATAAAAATTTTTCACAATTTCTTCTTAATGAGCATATCGAGAATGATTATTATGTATAAAGGCTTTTCAATTTTCAGCATAACACATCTTTAAATTTAAACCTCGGATTTTGTTGATAATTTTGTTGAAGTGAAGTTCACTTGAATTTGACCGAAGAAAATACTTTTGTTATCCATCTATTCACCCGAAACTTATTTTGCGGAGAGCCCTGCATTCTCCATTGCTTGCATCTCGAAAAGTATCGATACCTCGTCACTTCTGCTAAGAAAAAAATATCAAATTTTCATAAAAAATAGCGTTACGAAAACAGTAAGCGCGAATTACTGGACATCCCGTATAAGAACCACTGATAAATGATCTGCGCGACGTGCAATTTCCGCTATCCGTTATTAATTACGAGCAGCTCGATCTTCATTACGCATGGGAGGGTTAGATGAAATCGAGGAGCGATGGTCACACGTCGCTAAAACCGTCCGGTCGCTAATCGAATCCTTTCTAACAATTAAACTGTGTTTGCCTGGCTAACCCAATTTAACCAGGGGTGGACTACTGCGCGAAGGGCCACAAGTGTCACGCTAACGCGTCCTGCCTGAACCTCCAGACGACGTACGCCTGCCATTGTGATATCGGTTTCCAGGGGAATGGTGTTAACTGTCATGGTACCTAAAGCCTGATCTACAATGTGCTCTCTGCTTGCTGTTTCTTATTCCTTATTTCTTTCTGGCTTGAGCCGTTGAAGGTTTAAGGTAAAAAGAGATAAAGAGAAAGAAGCAGAAAGTAAAGAGCATATTGTAAATAAGGCTTAACATACATATCTAACTTGCTTCAACTATGCTCGCGTGATTAATCGCACGTGAAATATTTCCGCTTATTTGTGCTCGTTAGCTTCATTCGGCAATGTCGCAACTCGCGCGAACTTTCATTCAAGTCTCGATTCTCAGGTGATTTTCTCAAGCTTGAAAGTTTCGTCGAAAACAAGCTCGCGAGAAAATAGTACTGTGCTCGCTCGAATAATATTTAGCTATCGGTGAAAAGATTGTAACGTGTTTCTTCTCGACGTGATCGGGAATGAACCAAAGTTGCGATAATGATCGCGTGTTTCGCACACCTCTTCGGAAACTCATCGAAGTGAGAAGAATCGCAATCTTTTCATTACACAGACTACACGGATTTTTTTCATATTTTTCTATCATTATAATATTACAAAGTCAATCAAAAAGTTCAGTTTGATTTCTCAGTAAAAGTTCATCTTATCGCATTCAATAGACTAATTATTTATCAACCGAATAATCGTCGTTTATAATCGCCAACATTCTGACAATATTATCAACATTATTATCTGTAAAGGTAGTTGGTCCATGAAAGCTGCTAATAATTAATGCAATACAAAGTAGCCCGACAAACTCTGTGTGTCAAATATTTATAAACATGATTTATGATATATGATTTTGACATAATCGCAAGATAATATCAATGAAATTTACGTATTTGAAAATCCATAAGAAATATCTGTCTTGTTTTTTAACACTTGATACTTTTGGCTGAGATTACTTTTTTTACGTATTTTTTTGCAAAAATATACTATATGTCATATGTATTGATAAACACGCACTAATTAACAGCATTAAACAAATAAGGGAAAGGATAGCTGTCATCAATTATTATAAAAAATGATATACTTTCCATATCAATTTCTTGAAAACTATACGACCTTGTAATTTTTTATAATATTTGTATAAATCTCTTTTATTATATTTTGCTCTATGTTCTGTTGTATTACTTTTTTTTAAAAGTATAGTGGTAATTTGATCACTAAAATCGGAATGATATAAAATAACGTCCGGTTGATATGTGCGATATATATAATTTTGACTACAATTATTTCAACTTCGGTTAATCTTTTTCTATTTGTACAAGCATGCGTTTTTCCATTTTAATATACTGTTAAAATTTAAAAAGATATCTGAGAGAAAGAGAGAGAGAGAGAGAGAGAGAGAGAGAGAGAGAGAGAGAGAGAGAGAGCGAGAGAGAGAGAGAGAGAGAGAGAGAGAGAGAGAGAGAGAGAGAGAGAGAGAGCGAGAGAGAGAGAGAGAGAGAGCGAGAGAGAGAGAGAGAGAGAGAGAAAATACTTTGATGGATCAATTATCAATTGAGGCGTTTATTTTCTTGTTGCATCATTTTGATATATTCAAAATCAAACGCGAGAAAATATACTTTAAAAATTCTTGAAAAATACGTTGAAATATAGATATGTTTACAAAATGACACGTCAATTTAGCAGAATTAACTTAGTAGATAAAATGGCCCAAATATCTCCTTTTGTTATTCTAACACCTAATAAATAACGATAAAATTAACATTAATATGATAACTGTTTGATAAAAAAGGTGGATTAAAAATGTAGGTTACATGTTAATTTAACGGTTATTTATTATTTGTTTGAACGAAAAGAAAATGTTTATAAAAATCTGTGCTTGTCCGATTCCAAAAATATTATTTATGAATATACAGGGTGGTCTGGGATCTGTTGGAAACGAAAAATTATGAAAATTAATCAGCTCAAACTAACAAGAAAAGTCAAGTACTATTTTGCAAAAATTGTAATAGTCATTAAGTTATTAATGATTGAAAATGACAACATCTAGAGGCTGTTTTAATTGATAGCTTGAAAATTTGCGTATTTATTTGCAAAATGATAAGGAAGTTTTTGGTTCAGAATGACCTAATCTACAATTATATGACGGCAACATTGCGCAACAGGTTCAAGATTCAGTGTTTAAAGTTCAATATACCATATCTTTACCATTTTGCAAATAAGCACACAATTTTTCAAGTTATCAATTAAAAGAGCCTCTAGATGTGGTCATTTTGAATCATTAATAAGTTAATAACTATTGTGATTTTTGCAAAATGACTTTTCTTCTCAGTTTGATCCGATTACTCTTCACAATTTTTCGTTTCCAAAAGATCTCGGACACTCTGTATATATTTCTTTATTTCTACGTATTTTGCAAGAATTTTGAGCATATATTCTCTCGTGTTTGACGTTATCACTCAAGAGTCCGGCGGTGAAGGTCTAGCAGCCTTGAATGTGTGCGACAGGATTCACTGGAAATCGAATCAAACTCTTTGACCGACCTAATGCCTCAACATACTCGTGGATGATCCTTGACACTTGTTCTGTTTTTTTTTCCTCACCTCGTCACACTCAGACGTTGACGAGTGTAAGCAGCAAGGTGGATTGGACGGTCACCATTGCAACGCGAACACGAGGTGCGTCAACGTGATCGGCTCTTATACGTGCGAGTGTCTTCCGGGTTACCACAGAATCGACAAGTTCAACTGCGCCGAGCTGGACGAGTGCTTGACCGGTCACCACACGTGCGACGAGCACGCCACTTGCGTCAACACCGCCGGCAGCTACTATTGCGTCTGCAAAGACGGTTACACCGGCGATGGTTACACATGCAAACGTACGTAATGTCGCCTTTCATCCCCGCGACGTTGCGTCGATGTTAAAGTAGCGGACGATGAAGCGGCAAGAGAATCGTTTCTGCCGTTTGAATGTGCGTGGAGTTACGAGCGGAGAAACGCGTGTGCGGTTTTGCAAATAATTTCTCTCTACCCCGAGAACGGAGGATCGTAAAATGATTATTGATGTATAATTCGCCACTTTGTACGAGGATTTCGCACGATGGAAATAGAAAACGATTCTTACGCACGTACTTATTTCATCATCGGGACGTTTGTTCTCGAGCGAACGAGTGTGTGCACAAACGATCGTAACGACTACGGACACTATTATCGTATCGACAAGTAAAGCGGCGAGAGAAGATTTACTAAGGGTGGAGTTTATTTTCCTCCGACGTTCCGTTCGCGAAGATCACAAGGTGCAAAGGATAAATACTTTCATCGCTCTTCAAAGCTCGACCCCTTTATCGTCAGAAATAATAAACTGGGCGTGACGAAGTAGCTTCTGCAAACTACCGTTGGTTTATAGACCGAGGAGCTTAATTAGATCTTATTAAAAGAGAAAAATGAAAACAATGGAAATCTCATAATAATCATAAATCTCATAAACTTGAAACACAAAGGCGCTTCGAGTTGAATCTTTTTTTTTCGATCTACATTAATCTTGCGAATTCCGTCGAACTTGAAGAACCGATGGAGAATTTGAAGATGTAACATTGCGCAGGTTATTTCGATGCTACAAGAAGATTCTTACTGCCGTTTTATTACCGTTGAAGCTTAAAAAAGTAGGACTTATTTAAAAACTATTAATATTAACTATTAATATATTCTGCGTTTTCAATATTTTATGTTAATATTCTATGTTAATATTCTATGTTTTATATTCTATATATTAAAATTATATGTTTTAATATTATATTAAATTATTAATTATATGTTTGATATTTAATTTTATGTTTCCCATTTTTATTATTATTTTCGGTAAGCAATATGCTACGCGACTTGTGATGTTTAAAGCTTTCGCGATATGGAGAAATGCTTGATCTGGATTTCTTTCGTGGATTTATTTCCGACATCTCGTAAATATTTCATTTCGCTCTTTCAGGAGGAGGAACAACTTGAAACTAAGTTGTTCCCTTCTTTATGCAACTTACTTGATTACAGATAATCTATTTATTATTTTTCTTATCGGTATTGCAAATTTCGAGAGAATTTGGAAATTCGAAAGGGACGAAAAGAAAAAAATTTTGCGAATGTAAAAATAATAATTGCGTGCTCAGAAAAGCATCGGTAAAGGTTTATTATGTAATTTACTTAATTAATTACGGATAATTTATTTATCTACAATTTATGGTTTCGTACGACATTGTAAATCTCGAGATAATTTAGAAAGTCAGAGAGGACGGGAGGACAAAATTTGCAAATATAAAGATGGCAATCGCGTGTCCAGAGGCACATCGGTAGGGCTGTAAATTCAGATTCGGCACCATAAAACGCAAACACAAACAGAAAGGAGACGTTGGCAGGGTCAAGATAGAACTTGCAGGCCGAGGAGGATCATTAGAGGCACGAATCTCTCAGCACTCGCGAGACTCACGGCAGATTCTGATCTTGCCACTCTCGGGCATCGCACGATCTGCACCGCGGGCATCCGTAACTCGAAGTAAAGTCCAATTCTGCTCTCCCATAGCCGTGTGCAATCAGACTTGCCAAAACGGTGGGGTGTGCGTGGCACCCGGCCGGTGTTCCTGTCGGCGCGGTTACATCGGCAACAGCTGCGAGCTCGACCTAGACGAGTGCGCGAGCGAGTTGCACCGCTGCCACCAGTCGTCCACGTGCTTCAACATGCCCGGTTGGTACTATTGCCGGTGCAAGCCCGGTTACAGGAGCGCTCTGCACGACAGCACCCAGGGCACGCAGTGTCTCGACATCGACGAGTGCAACGACGAGACGGTCGAGAGGAGGCACACGTGTCACCATACCGCCAAGTGCGTTAACACCGAGGGCGGCTATGAGTGCGTGTGCCCGCCGGAGAAGGAGTCGAACGAGTCCGGAGAGGAGTGCAGACTTAGTGAGTTGATTCTTCCCGTTCGATTGAGGCACCGTCGCTTGGACATAATGAACATTTACGTTCGCTACCAGCGTGCCACAGGTGTGAGGCAACGATCCTTCACGAGAGATCAGCGTGACAACGAAATCTTTTGTCTTTTTATGTGCATTTTGATAAATTATATCCGCTTTATACAGCTATGCGAAATAGTACAAGTTGATCTGTGAGGAAAGTTCTGCGGATATACTCTGATAGCGAACGTGTTAAATCGTCTCCGATTGCAACAAATTTTGCGACATAATTTGCATCTTTTTTGAATCCCTTCTGTTTATATTTATATGTTGAAACGGAAAGTGACAATGCAAAAATTGCTTAGTTCTTTAGTTTAATCGAGAAGCATAGGCTGTATTTTATATCTTGCAAATTAATGATACGAAATATCAAAATCAAACAATAGACTATATTTTTACTATAACTTTTTATTTCTACATTTCGTACTGTCAGAGAAACTAAAGCTTTTTTATCATTATTTATAAAGCTCTCGAAGTAAATAAAACTACAGATTAGAATTCAAGGTCTCTATTTTCCTACAACAAATTAAAAACATGTTTCATTCATAACCTGTCATACGTACTAATGATAAAAAGAATTTTTAAAAAGATGATTTTAAGAGAAATTCGTTTTTGATTGTCGTTCATTATATTGTGGAAGTCAGAATTTATCTTAACTTTAAATTATTCTATTTGTGATTAATATCACCGCTAAATTAACTAGAATTAATGATTTAAATCAAAGGTCATTTTTGTGTTGATCATTGTTATTAATTGTTAATGGAAAATATTCTATGATGTACAATTGTCTAACTTTAGTATAAATAATAAGTACAAACAGAGAGTTAAGAAGAACTGCCAATATAGTTAAAAATGCATGAATTTAGTATATAATAAGTGTTTTATATACAGGGTGTCTCATTTTATATGAGCCAGGCAAAAATCTCGAAAAATATGAAAGATATTAAGAAATATTTTAGACAAAAGTTGTTCAGATTAATTTGTAGAGAAGGATGATATAATAAAAAATTTGAATTTCCATTTAAGAAACGTAATGATCAGTGGGTATCTCAAAAATGACGCCATCTATAAAAAAAATGATATAGTTGTTTTATATCCCTTTTGAAACCATACAACTTTTATCTGAAACATTTCTTAGTATCTTTCATATTTTTTGAGATTTTTATCTGGCTCATTTAAAATGGCTCATTAAAATGTCTCGTTAAAATTTAAAATACTCCCTGTATATAGCTACAATTTTGTATCTAAAATCTACGTAAGTATGTTTATGATTGCTTCGAGATACATAAGTTTACTAAACGTCAAAAATTTCCAAGACTGCGTAAAAAGGAGACGCCGTTGCGTTAATTCGCATTCTTTCATATACGCGTGATTTTACAGGCTGCTGGTTCGAAGGACGCGAGGTCAACAATGGCGACACTTTCACTCCGGCCGAAAATACCTGCAGGAGGTGCACATGCCAAGATGGCGTGATCACTTGCAAGGATCCTATATGTGACTGCAGCGCTCCGGACAGCCAAAGTGACGCGTGTTGTCCTCAGTGCAATCCCAAGGCGTCCTGCAAGCATCAGGAACTTCATCACCTAGTTTTCAGAAGCGGAGAACGTTGGATATACCAGTGTCAGACTTGCGAGTGCCTGGTAATTAGCCCGATCGAAGCGGTTGTGCGATGATTGCGCGTTTGTCGTCCGCTCGATAACATACCGATCATAATAACCGATTCGAACGAAAACTCGATCCTTCGAGTTGCAAATCACATGCTTGTCATAATCACATTGCGAAACATACTTCTTCGAGGCAGATAAAGATATTTAACCCATTAGCAGCCGGCATTCAACTCATGGGACACGAGTTTATATTGTGAATAAAAAAAAATTATCAGATTGATAGAATAATTTTATCCTCATGTTTCCATCAAGGTTGAATAATAACTAGTTAATTAAAAGCGGAATTAAAAAGTTAATCATTTTTAACTTAATTCATTTTTAACTTAATTCGGTCGATTTAAAACGAGCTAACTTTTTAAACTTGAGTTAGTTATTTTAAAATACATTTACGTTAACTTATTAATATTTTTTTATATGAAATCAATTCACTGTTTGATCTACGATTCAAACGTTAATTGTACTAAAATCCGCGGAAATATTGCTTTGTGTAATTAACTTTCAACTCGAATCAGTTAAGTTAATTTAATTCTAACTTATTGCATAATTAAATTAGTTTCGTTTAAGTAACATTTAACTTAAATAACTTTTAAGCTTTTAAGTTAAACAAGCTAATTTTATAATTTCTTAACTTTAAATTTATCTTAGTCGAAACAAAAGTTTATCCAATCTTGGTCCTCAGTATCTAATTTTTAGTTATAGCTGTTTGTGCTAGCAGTGAGAATAATTCTAACACTAACCTGAGACCTCTAGAAGATAAAAATACAGCGATCCTTCAATTAAGAAAACGCCTATGAAATATAATTATGGATTTTGGGTTAATCTTGAATTTCTCGCATGTTGAGAACGTTACGCCGCTTTTATTCTCCGGTGACTCCATCGCTTCGAATTCTCTTGACTCGGTCGTCACGCGATTAAATCTAACCTGCCAAAATGTTGCAGTACGGCGATATAGACTGCTGGCAGATGGAGTGTCCACCGGTGACCTGCTCAAATCCTGTGACGGAGGAGGGCGACTGTTGCCCGCGCTGCGAGGATGACCCCTGCGGTCGAGAGGTGCCAGTGAACGGTACCTCGCTCACGGTTCCTAGGCCGTGCAGCTACGGCGGCATTATCCACGACGGAGGCAGCTCTTGGCAGGACAAGTGCACCACATGCGAGTGCAAGGTAAGGAGGAGGATCAACTACGTCGCAGGATCCGCGATTGTCGATCCTTCACCCGGTCCTGTGCGAAACCTGACGGATATGGATAGGATAAGAGGGGGGTTTCGCCAGAAAAGGACGGCGCCATGGGCACGAAGAGGGAGAGAATGCGTGGACGGAGGTCGTGTATAAATAACGAACGGAAATGATCGTTTCCTCTCTCTTTCTTTTACGGTTATCGCTTTCGCCTCGAAGCGAAGCGAGGCCATTCCGACCGAGACCTCGCGTTCTCATCGCGCGCCCATCTTTTTTCGCGAATTCAATAGCTCAAGGTCAGTAAGTGAAACGAAATATCGTCTCAATTTAGCCATGAATCTGTCGTGTGCCTACTCTCAATTGCGTTTGCTGTATGATGCCAACGTACGACCAGTTGCTGTGTGACGAACGTCCATCGCAGAATGTGTATACGGAATAGATAGATAGATAGATGGATAGATAGATAGATAGATAGATAGATAGATAGATATATATATATATATAAATACACACATCCACATACACACACATATATATGGCGGAGCATCGAGGTGAAAATCGTGCCAGTCAATTTAGTTTCCGCATGAAACGCTTCACATTCGATTTAGTTCGACATTTAATGTTCATTCCACTATCCTGTTGATATTGTCAGTTTTATATAAAAAAAATTTCGTTAGGTTTTTAAGAGAAATTACATTTCCAAAAATAAAACTGTAAACTTCCTTTCCTATATATGAATGTCCTACCCCAAAAAAGAAAAAAGAAGAAACGGATTATTCTTCAAGCCATCATGAAATAATCATCAATTTTTTTCTGTAGTGTGACTTTATAGAAGGTGAAAATTTCTAAATGCTTTCAAGTAAAAAAGTTTTCATTTTTGATGAATTCACATTATAGGGAAAGATTTATGATCCAAGTCTCAATGTTTCTATGTAGCCGATATCTATATTATACCGTTACTTACTCCAAAAATTATCAATTCTTAATTTCCTAAGATATAGAATTTCTATCATTTGCAATCAGAATAGCCTCCAAAACAACCGTAGAGAATTAAATAACATGTTCCAATTAAATGGATATCCGGACAGAGAGACATGACGATTCTAAAACACCAAACTATAATAGTTGCCGACACACAAATCGACCGATAGACAAAAGATCCATCCTCGATTTCTTTTTATACAGAATGTCTCATAACTCAGTAATAAGTCACAGATGAAATCGACAGAATTCTAAATAAATCTAACATAAGAACTATCTGTAAAATAAGGACAACTCAGCAACCTAAAAGAAAGAAAGAAAGGTTTTTATGAAAAAAGTTCTCAAAAAAAAAGAAAGAAAAAACTCTTATTAAACACATCAGAAATTTACAAAATTCTTTGCTCAAGCGGTAAAAAGTTACATAGGAAAAATTAGACGAGCTAAGAACAACTCTATCAGAAAACCATATAAAGGCGAAACACAAAATCAATCAATTGATTAATTAACTTTTCCTCATATAGTTTTAATTACGTAAACTAATGTCTACTTCCAGTTTAAAATCAGTTTAATTCGGCAATATATCTTCCTGGTTTTATAAAGTTTTATAAAAATCTTTACTTGATTAAGTTCAAAATCTCTTTATTTCCTTATCTCGTCTCTCTCTCATCCTTTCTTCTCCTGACCTATATCATCCTCTACGCATTTATAAAGAAGACTCCTGCCAAGGAGCGACTCAGTTTCAAATATTCCTTTTTCTCAAGAAATAAACTAAAATGTTTGCGAAACGTCGAAAAAAAAAACCATGAAGAACGTGCTATCAACTTGGAAGCTGAATCGAATTTTCTTTCTTCACACTGCAAAAGTCTCGAATATCAAAATTTAATACGATACTTGTAGATATGGTTGCATATACCAACGCTGTTTACTAACTTCCTTTGAAACGAATAGATTTTTTCTTTTTCAAGCAAACAGATTTCTTCAGGAGCGATGTAAAATGTTCATTTTATTGGAATTGCAACCGAATCGTGAAAAATATTTGCCTGCAGATACCTCACAGACAGCCTTCATCGTTTTTCGGATCCGATCAAATTATCCGCCATGTATGCATAAAATCACACATACACGAGCATCCATATATATTAATTTGTCTCTTTCGCTCCTTCCGTTCTCTATCTTTCCGTTTCGTCATCAGTAGACAGTCCTCAAACAATACAAGGTATATACTGACTGTTCTTTCTTCTTCTTTCGTGCAGTATGTCGTTTGTCTCTGCGTTGTGTACTAACGCGAGTCTCTTCTGCAAAGCTAAACGCTGAAATTTGATTAACTGTACGCTGAGAGAAGAATTTCCGCCCTCCGACAGAAAATACATATTGCACTTCGGGAAACGTGACGCATCGAAATGCATCTTCGCGCTTTCACGAATCGGAGAATCTCATAACCGCCGCCAGATCAAAGCGATACACGACGCTTTGCCTAACAATCTGCTGGATGATAATTGAACATTTCTCTCTTCCGCTATTGTAGCAAAATTAATATATTAACGTTAATATGCAACACTAACATAACAGCCGATTCTCAGCGCGCGTCTTCTCTCGGTGTGCGCTATGGCGCGCACTGCGCTAATCTCGTCACGACGAGATTGCAATTAAAAAATCACGGACAGGAAGATTGTTGATTATTTTTCATGTGAGTTTTCGAACGCATCGGCCTTGTCCAATGGGAGATTTCTCTTATTGGATAATTTCCGAAACTTGCACGAAAAATGACGCACAACTTTTCTCTCCGCCATTGCGTAGAAACTGAGTTTCAAAACGTTATAAGCACTTTTCCTGGATGCAATTGAGGACGCAACCGATAGCCCAATGAGAGGATTTCTTGCTGAAGAAAAATTCGTGAAACTCAAGTTCTGTCATTGGATATCTATTACGTTTCGGATTGTAGTCAAAGAAAAGTGTTCAAACTTCTTTGAAGCCCAGAGCGTATTCACCATTGTAAGATATACTCAAGACCTCCGGTCGCGCATATCTCGCATTGATCCGTCAAATACATCCAGGGGCGTCCCCGAGCTAGCCTAAACTAGATGTTATTTATTTTTCGTTGCCTGCCTTGCACGTGGCAGTGTTTGTCGCTCGTTCTTGTCGTTCCCTCGCGCTCGTGCGCGTGAAAGAGAGAGAAGAGTTGAATTGAATTCACGAACGAGCCCCAGCATGATTCATAAGGTTTACTCGTGCCTCTATCCTGATCTGTGTAACAAAACATTGCCTGGAAACCGTAGGCATAGAACGCGATCGAACACTGCCACGTCCGTGAGAATCTCGGCTCGTACGTATTACCGAGTTTCAGAGAGAATCCCGAGAGAGCTCGCCGTCCGTCTCGCTTCTTCGCCAAGCGCTTCGCTTCATTGTCATCATCGTCATCCTGTTATCGTCACCTGAGTGTAAGATCAGCAAGCTCTGAATGTCAGACACTGGACTATAGCCGAACTTAGAATGCTTAGAAGATTCACTGCTCGAATCTCCGCGGATTATCCGCGGAGCACATATATATTAGGTCGTTAAGTATGAAATGTCCGATCTCGAATCAAAAGTTTGGTTTATTATATCTCAAACTAGAAATAGTACAATTAATCCAAGTATGCGCCTAAATTATCGGCACAGTTCTGCCATCTTACGGTAGCTTATTTATGCCAGCAGCGAAGAAGCCTGAAGAGCAGGTGAAATTGTGGAAGACGTTTTCCACAGCTTGTTGAGAATTGAATATTTTTCCTTGCAAGAAATGGTCCAGTGCCTGGAAGAAGTGATAGTCAGTTGGTACAAGGTCTGGTGAATACGGTGGGTGACAGAGAGTTTCCAGGCTCAGCTCCTGTAAGTTGAGCAACGTTGCTTGTGCAACATGTCCACCACATGGTCGAACGTTGTTTTGCAAGAGGATTACCTGTGTCTATCAGATTGTCTAAAAAGTATTGGAGCCTTTTTGAGCGCACGAGATAGCGTTAGTGTCCCAAATTTCAGGGTATATGAGTCGCAGGTCAGGCCTAACGTCATTTGACAGCTGACAGTTGAAGCTAGTAGACGTACAAAAAGTGTTGGAATTCTTATAATCAGACGTAAGGTATTGTGCCGTGAAGATGAGTGAACGTTCCGCAAAATTGCGCTAAATTTTACAATTTTATTTCGATAAAGGCGCAAATGCTGCGCAGGCCCGTGAAGAAATTTGTGCTGTTTATGGGCAAGATACGTTATCAAAAGCAACAGCCAAAAGATGGTTTAGTCGCTTTCATTTTGGAAATTTCGATGTCCAAGATACTCCTCGCAGTGGGCGACCAATCACAGAAAAAGCGGATGATATTCTGGCAAAAGCCGAGCAAGACTGGTACATAAGTAGTAATGACATCGCCAATGACCTATACATCCATCACCAAACAGTGTTAAACAATTTGGAGAAAGCTGGCTACAAAAGGAAGCTCGATGTTTGGGTGCTACATGATCCGGCTTAAAAAAATTTACTCGATCGAATTTCTATCTGCGAATCTCTACTGAAACGTAACGAAATCGAGCCATTTTTGAAGCGGTTGTTCACGAGTGTTGAAAAGTAGATAGCCTACGACAACAATGTGCGAAAAAGATCGTGGTCGAAGCGAGGAGAAGCTCCACAGTCTGTGATACTCACAAATGCTCACAATAACGCCCAAGAAGGTTATGCTACATGTTGGGTGAGATTGGAAGGGCATCGTGCATCACAAGCTGCTACCGCCAGGTAGAATGATAGATTCGGACCTGTACCGTCGACAATTAGCGCGATTGCACCTAGCAATTCAAAAGAAACGGCCGGAACTAGTCAACAAAAAGGGTGTATTATACCATACCGACAACGCCAGACCGCATACATCTTTAACGATCCGTCAGAAATTGAGAAAACTTGGCTGGGAGGTTTTAATGCATCCACTGTATAGCCCAGACCTGGCACCGTCAGACTATCATTTGTTTTGGTTTCTGCAGAACTCCTTAAATGGTGTTAAGTTATAATAGTTTCAAAAGAGGTCTGTGAAAACCACATGTCACAATTTTTTGACCAGAAACCACAGAAGTTTTATAGTGACGAGATTATGGTGTTGCTGGAAAAATGGCAGAAGGTCATCGAACAAAATGGTGCATATGTGGTTTCATAATGTTATTTTCAAATAACAATAAATGTATTGTCAATTTTGATCTTCAAAGGATCAATACTTTTTAGACAACCTAATTATTGATCAATCTCGGCTGCTTGATTGCAAGTATTTTCATCATTTCGCTTAGTTGGTTACAGTGGACATCCGCTGTAATCGATTGACCAGGTTTCATGAAGCTGTAATGGATAATATCAACGCTGGACCATCAAACAGACACTATTAGCTTTCTTCTGTGAATATTCGGTTTCGGACTGTATTTCGGCACTTCCATATCCAATAATTGTGCCGAACACTTGCAATTGTCGAAAAGAATCCGCTGTTCATCACACGTAACAATACGATGTAAAAATGGTTCGCTTTTACGTCGTGATAGTGAAGAAAGGCAAGCTTCGAGACAACTTCTCTTCTGACGCCCGTTTAATTTATGCGGAACCCATTTATCCAGCTTCTTTATCTTGTTGATTTGTTTCAAGTGATCCAATATTGTTGGAATAGTAACGTTAAACCTTGCTGCTAATTCACGCGTAGTTTGAAATGTATCTGCTTCCACTACAGCTTTCAGCTCATTATTATCCATCTTGGTCTTGGGTCACTAACGTGGCTCATTTTCAAGATTAAAATCGCCAGAACGAAACTTCTCAAACCATCGACGTATTGTACGTTCATTAGCCACATCTTCACCAAACACTTCGTTAATATTTCGAGTTGTCTGTGCTGCATTGGTTTCACGACGGAACTCATCGAAAATAACATGAATTTTTAACTTATCCATGGTTACACAAAAATTGCTGTAACAAAGACAATTCGAAAAATAATCACAAACCAAAACATGCATTTGAAAGAATGATGATGTACCTTCACAACAAAAAAAAAAGACCAAAAACTGTAAAGGTGAAAGGTGTAAAGGTGAAATGTCAGAGATATCGACTGTCGAACTTAGTACTTAAGGAAATCGGACATTTCATATTTAATGACCTAATAAAGGGTGTCCCAAGATTCACGCAAGAAGTAATTTTGATAGAAAACACAGGTTTATAATTAAAAATTGTACATCTTTTACTGATTCATAAAGTATACAGTATAGGGTTATGTATGGAATAGCATATCGGGTAAACGGCCACAGCGAAGAGAGTTCGTTGAATGGATTATGGAACAACAACAGGTGGATGCTGATTTTTCGAACAAAATCATCTTCAGCGATGAGGCTCATTTTCATCTTGATGGCTTGGTTAATCGACAAAATTGTCGCATTTGGGTTCAGAAAATGCACGAGTGATTGTTGAGAAACAAATGCATTCACAACGTGTCACTGTTTGGTACGGATTTTGGGCTGGAGGCATCATCGGACCATTCTTCTTCGAAAATCCGGCTGGTCAGGCAATAACAGTTAATGGTGCTCGCTATCGCGACATGATAATCCAGTTTTTTGTGCCTAAATTGCAAGATATGGATGTGGACGACATGTGATTTCAACAAGATGGTGCCACATGCCATACAGCCCGAGAAAGAATTCAATTACTACATGAATCATTTCCTGGTCGTGTAATTTCCCGTTTTGGTGATTAGATTTGGCCGCCCATCATGCGATTTAACGCCGTTTGACTTTTTTCTTTGGGGTTTTTTGAAGTCTAAGATTTATGCCAACAAGTCCACGACCACCCACGCCTTGAAGGAGGAAATTGAGCGCTGTATCAATGAAATTCAGCCACATTTATGCAAAACGGTCATGGAAAATTTCAACAAGAGTGCATATGTGCCAACAAAGCCGTGGAGGCCATTTACACGATATGCTATTCCATACATAACCCTATACTGTATACTTTATGAATCAATAAAAAATTTACAATTTTTAATTATAAAACTGTGCTTTCTATCAAAATTACTTCTTGCGTGAATTTTGGGACACCCTTTATATACAACTACGCTACGCTGAAGAATGTTTCCGCATTCACGATCAGGGTGACGGTAGAAGGATGTCGAATGGGATGTTTTCTTCGTTACTTACTGCGCCGTTTCTCAATCCGTGAACAATCCGAATTCGTTTTTGTGGAATAATAAATCGAACCCGAAACCAGCATTTGTTTGGACGTTCTAGCTTTCAACGTTAAATGTCCGCTTAATTGAAATTTCCTCGACATCGACTAAAGAACTTTTCAACTAAAGAACTTTCAGCCTCTTATTCTTATGTATCTCCACCGAAGCATATGTACACAGAGAGAATTTCCCGGTAAAAACTGAATGGACTTTATTTTAAGAACTGAAATATCCCGTTATAAAAATTTACCATATTTCTCAGCGAGACAAACTCTATTGTCAATTTATTGCATTAGAAATCATGGTAACATTTTTGATAATGGAACTAAATATTAATTGTGTATGTCGTATAAAATCTTACACTTTTCTTGGAAACACATTTTCTCTGTAAATAATAGAGTAAATAAATAAGTAATTAAAAAAATTCGTATGAGAAAAATTGGAAATGGTATTCTCTCCGTGGAACTCTCTTTTTCTCTCTCTTTCTTTCTCCCTTTGTCTCTTTTTTATCTTTCGCCCTCCGGCTGAAGAAGGTGCGACGTAGCCGGACACATTCGTACAACACCTAACCAAGAGACCGAGACGAGATCTCACGATCGCGCGTGCTTTGGGTCGGCCCTGCATGGATCATTTTATTAATGTTCACCGAGCGACGGCATAATTAATTGAAAGCATACCTAACCTCATAGCGATCGAGCGTGCATCGCGGCCTTGACTCCGCCGATCTGATCCGATCCGCGATTTCCCGATCGCCTGACCTTTGTCTGGAGAGCCATGCCGTCAAGAGCGTTCAGTTCAAGGGTAGGATTTATTACACGCTTCATTCTAGCTAATAATAATGGCGCTCAATCCCGTGTATAAAAACCGCTTTGGAGCCTATAAAGCACACCTAATGGATTTCGCCCGAATACCGGTGGCGCGATTTCATCGGCGGATGACATTGGGCGACGATTGATCCGGAAAGCACCGTAGTCGAGTCCGGCTGATTCCGTTGGCACCAATGAGATGATCATTATGTGAATCATTACATGAATAAATTATGGCTAGATAATAAATTATTAGATGAATCTACTTTAAGTCATGACACGATCGCGGATCGCGACGGTGAGGACGGCGGGAGCTCCTGGTCACGTAGGTAGAGATAGGGTGAGCTGCAGGGGGTGGGTGGGAGAGGAGTGAGGAGGATAAACGGGGGAAAGCATTGTCTGCCTGTGATCGTATGCTGTAAATTAATCCCGCCATCTTGTCCGTGATAACTAACCTCATAGCCTAACAATGGGTATCCTTGCAGGTGCCGTACTGCGCCCAATTGGTGAGCAATAGCGCGTGTTGTGTGCATCGGTAATCACGTCACTTCTACCTCACCTATAATCTGTACTACCTGCCTCTTCTCTTCTGTCTTTCTTGTTGATTAATGTATTATGACTAAACGGAGTGCTCGAGTGCTTTCTTCGTCCCTATCCTGCCTGTTTTAGACAGCTGCTTCTTTTTTTAGTCCCGGCTTGATGTCTCTTTTTTCTCTTCTTTTCTTTACCGCCCCCCCCCTCTTTCTCACCTCTTACCTTTTCCTCTTTCTCTCTCTCACTCTTTCGAAGTTATCGCACACATGCTCAATATTGTAGTTTTGTCGGCCCATTTTTTCTCTTCGATGACCTACACGTCAAGACTGGTTTTCGTTACGTTAATCGCTGCACGTTTTGTCACTGGAAGCTTCATCATCTTTCTCAATCTCTCTTTCTTCTTTTGATAATTGATATGAAATGTATTGCGAGCACGGAGCATGTACGTCGCACTCGAAGATGGAGTGTTCTCGACGTGACGTCCATGACCATATCGGCAAGTGAGTAAAAGTGGCTTCACCCTCGAAGATTCGTTTTATATTGCTTTAACTTTAAGCATCAATATTAAGAGAACTTAATGTAGACTTAACGTAAGAGTGACAAGGGGACTTACAAATGACATAACTAAGCGTATAAAAAAGCATAAATTAAAAAAGATGATATAATCGCACCCCAAACGTACAAACAATATTTTAACTTTTTTTTCTTTCAAGCAGACGGATATCTTTGTCAATAAAAGTAGTAAATACGTTGCACACGATATTCTTTAAATTTCTTGGAGCGATATCTCATTCAGAAAATGGAGTGACCACCGAGTTTCTCAAATTCGAATGATGCTTCCATTCACTTGGAATAAATTCCTTCATTCAGAATCGCCGAGTGAATACTTTTATTCAAAGTTAAAGAGTGGACCTGATACATACTTCACCGTCAAAGAAGTATTTCTACTTTAATCGAACAAAACGTTCGACAGTGTGGAGTCTCAAAGTCCACTTTGAATTGAATGAAACATTCGCTCACAATTTCGAGTGGCAATGTTTTTACTGTTGCATCGAGTGAAACTATCGCTGTGTTTCACTCGTTTCGAGTGATATTCCACTCCAAGGAATTTAGAATGCACTTGATATCGCGAGAAATAATTCCTTACGGGTTTCTTGTCACTTAATGTTGCGGTGAACCCCGATACGAAACTCATGGACCGATCGGACGAGAAGACAATTATGTGTTCTCTGTTAACTCGCCCGTGTGACTGCCGATTGCACGTTAGACTGAAATCCGCATGCGTTGACGCACCTCTCATGTACTCCTCCTATGCACTTTCCACCCGACCATGTTGAGCACTATCCTTTGTATTCATCTTATGATTTACGCACACTTATGAGACGCACGGTCGTTCATGCAAAAAGATAAAAGAGAAGGCGATCCGTTCGGCCGGCGGGTCTTTCTTCTGCTCGATGTCGATCGAGGAGCATGGCGTACGAGGCGACAGCCACACACAAATACACACAAATGTCACGCACGCGTGCGCGCACATGTGTACACGTAGCATGGGCAAGATGCACACACATGGAAAAGAAAACACAGACACACGAACCGTGTGCCGTTAATTCGCAATTATGTACATTTGTGTCTTTCTCTTCTTTCTTCTTTTTTTTCCTTTTCAATCGAGTTGTCGCACCTCCACTGCACCCTCCTCTGATCTGCATTCGAGATTCGATAGAAGCACCAAATGGTTTCTTTCTCTCTCTATCTATCGATTGGTCAAGCGACGATTCTGGCGAGGCAACTTTTCATTGTGGCTTGTAGTTGTCTTCGGCTACAAGGTTGAATGTTTCATCGTTCAAACGTCGTTCCGCACTGCTACAAGTTGCGATATAAACTTTGGGATTGAGCAAACACCGTGATGTAACAAGCCTCGCCAGGATCGTAGCAAGAAAGTAGTAGAAACTTAGAAATTTGTCGCCAGGTATGGAAGACATACTATGGAAATTCATTGTTTTGCCCCCCTCGAATGTCAGCATGAGTGTCCTTACAGTTATTGTAATTGTGATCATGACCACTTACAAGTCGTCTTCTTGACCGAGAGAAAAGGTCGCCGCCGACGTGGGCGTAACGTGGGACGCCGGCAAGGGAAGTTTCAAGGGAAGTAAAACAGTGAGGGGGGTCGGATTTGCACGTTGATTTATTATCGCCACGGCGGAATGATTACGGTATTGTTCTACGAAACAATGAATTACATACTATGTGGACAAGTACCTGCTTCTCTCCACTGCAGGTCGGAAAGTCTTGGCGTGCTGGATAATCGATCGCGAGCGTAATCGCCGAATGATTAGAGCGCCATAGACCTTGACATTTCACGGTATATATTTGAGGAAAGACTTGTCAAATAAGAATCAAAACATCCCGTCATTATTCCAAGTAGATACGTTTAAAGAACTCTTCTGTAACGTCGTGTTAAAAGCCAAAGAGGAAGTTCAGCGTTATTACGGAAAATCCATTCAATTACAATTGAAGTCTGTACATTCGTGCATTGTAGAAAACAGATTCATCGAGCATACTGTCATTCCATTAGTGCAAAGTCTCGAAACATAATGAATATATAGTAAGCCTTAACCTTTTTCTCTGAGCTCGCGCGAAACTATAACCTAATTTCTGGCAAAGATATTTCTCACGCCATCAAACGTTGCAATTTCTAAGCTTTAAGTATTATTACTACAGATTTCTACGAATATATATTAACTAGACTATTGTCTTTTTTGTATAATGTGTACTAAGTGGAGAGAATGTGAGATGTCATATTATTTTGAGTTTACTCATACATGTATAAATCATACTGACAATTACTGTTGAAATTAATAAAAAAAAAAATATATATATATATAACATAATACAGGGTGTCCTATTTTAAATGAGCCAGGCAAAAATCTTGAAAAATATACAAGATACAGAAAAACGTTTCAGACAAAAGTTGTATGGAATATATCCCACACACTACACACCACACAATACACGTTATCCCAAGGATGTCCTACAACAATATCCTGGGGATGTACAAATGTCTTCCATTTTAGATCCTACATATATCCTACGGATATCTCTTTTAGTAACAATTTTTAGAAATTAAAAGTTTCTAAAAAGTAATTAAAAGTTACTAAAAACAATATCCGTAGGATATCTAAATCAGCGGACATCCCCAAGATATTGCAGTATCCCAAAATGATATCCATCGAATATCCTTGAGATAAGGTGTGCTGTGTGGGATTATATTTTAAAGAAAACATAAAACAAAACTATATCATTTTGTTTACAGATGACGCCACGTTCGAGATATTTACTAATCATTACTTTTTTTAAACGGAAAGCCCAATTTTTTATTATATCATTTTTTTCTACTAATTAATTTCAACAACTCTTATTTGAAACATTTTTTTATTTGCCTAATATTTGTTAAGATATTTAAGGAAAACTTGAAAACTCTTTCCATATTTAATTTACGATATTTAAGATACAATATTTAAGATATGCCTTGACTTTTGTTAATTTGGTAATTTTGAAATTTTCAAAGGTCGATAAGTTAACAAAAGTTAGGGCATTATTGTAAAATATATTCTTGAGATTAAATAGAGTACAAAAAGTCTAGTACTATTAAAGATAAAGTAAGTTAAATATTGAAAAAGTTATCAAGTTTTCCTTAAATATCTAAAAAAATATTGGGCAAATAAAAAAATACTTTAGACAAAAGTTACTACAATTAATTTTTAGAAAAAGATGATATAATGAAAAAAAGAAAAGTAATGATCAGTGAATATCTTGAAAGTGGTCATCTGTAAATGATATAGTTGTTTTATGCTTCACTTGAATACAATTTTTGTCTGAAACGTTTCTTAGTTCATATCAACGTTTCTTCTTTCATATTTTTCGAGATTATTGCCTGGCTCATTAAAAATGATACACCCTGTATATGTGTATATAGGGTGCACGATTTATCTGAAGACATTGAAATATCTCGAGAACTATGCATTGGATAAAAAAAAGTGGTTAATGAAAGTTGTTAGTCTCGAAGGGGGACATCCAATGATACCAAACTCGACCTCCCACCCCACCCTCTGGGGGTGGGGGTTGGAGGCAACTTTGAAATCTTAAATGGAAACCCCGATTTTTTATTGCAGATATGGATTCTACGTCACAAAATACGTAAATTTTGTCCGAAACTTTTTTTTTGATTCGTGATAGATGGCGCTGTAATCGCAAAAAATTATATTTTCCGCAATTCTCCAGAAATGATCATTGGATTGAGAAATAAAAATACCTGTTCAATATTTTTAAATCAACAAGTGCCAACAACTCGTGAAAACATGGTAGAACGCATAAGAAACACTTGCGCTGAAACTCCCGCAGATATGCTTCTATCCTGTGTACAGTCATTTGAAAAAAGGATCAATAAGTGTATTGAAGTTGAAGGTAAAAATTTTGAACACTTACTCTAATTAATTGAACAGTGAGAGGCAAGGGGACTCACATTAAAAAAGCACCCCGATCTGTGAGAGGCAAGGGGACTCACATTAAAAAAGCACCCGAAGGGAACATAAAACTACTACGTCCTCGTCGTTGTTCCTGTGTAACGCTAAAAGTAGTTTCTCGGAAAAATTCAACGCTATCTATCACGAATGAAAAAAATTGTTTCAATAAAAATTTCACGTACAATCTAATTCTGCAATGAAAAATGTGGGTCCTCATTTGAGATTTGAACGTTATCACCCACCCTACCCCGAGAGGATGGGGGGGGAATAACTTTTATTATGTTCTTTCAAAATATTGAACAGGTATTTTTTATTTCTCAATCCAATGATCATTTCTGGAGAATTGCGGAAAATATAATTTTTTGCGATTACAGCGCCATCTATCACGAATCAAAAAAAAAGTTTCGGACAAAATTTATGTATTTTGTATTTGGCGTAGAATCCGTATCTGCAATAAAAAATGGGGGTTTCCATTTAAGATTTCAAAGTTGCCCCCAACCCCCACCCCCAGGGAGTGGGGTGGGAGGTCGAGTTTGGTATCATTGGATGTCCCCCTTCGAGATTAACAACTTTCATTAACCACTTTTTTTTATCCAATGCATAGTTCTCGAGATATTTCAATGTCTTCAGATAAATCGTGCACCCTGTATATACATATATATATATGTATATAGGATGTACCAAAAGTTTGGAAACGGTCGAATATTTCATAAACTATGCATTTTAGAAAGAAATATTTCAGACAGAAGTTATTTGATTCGAGGGGGGACATAAGATGGTGTCACTGGATTGACCTTGAGTGAGCATTCCAAGGTCATACGGAGTTCAACTTTGTTTTTTTAAATAGAACTCCCTATTTTTCATTACATATTCTTGTAGCTTATCTCGAGAGCTTTCCAAAACACTATAAATAAGTTATGTTTTATTGAGCATTTTCCGAGTTATGGGGTTTGAAAGTTACAATACTGCCGGCATTAGCCAAGGTATACCGCGTGGAGATTGCACGATCGGATTTACATCTCTTGTGTATGTGTGTGTGTATTTGTGTATGTGAGTGTGTGTGTGTGTGTGTGTGTGTGTGTGTGCGTGTGTGTGTGTGTGTGTGTGTGTGTATATGTGTGTGTTACAGCAGAGATAAGCAGCTACTTGTTCAAAGGATCTAACGTGGTCACCATATCCTCGTATCATTCGCAATAATTCTTTCTGAAAAGAATCGACAGAAGATTCAATGAATGCGGTAGACTAGACGAAGATTCAAATATCGAAATTATTATACTTTTCATAGTTCTTTTCCAATAAAAGCCTTGCTACATTAATCATCTTGATTTGACCTGTAGTCGAAAGTTTTCCTATCCTGGATACATTCAGCTCTTCGTATTACGACACACTATCAAGCAACTGAGTAAAATTTCAGTGGCATCCAGAATGGTATTGTTTGAAAGAGAAAGAATTACTTTACTGATGATGCGAGGAAATGGTAACCGCGTTAGATTCTGTGAACAAGTAGCTGCTTTATTTAACCATATAATATTTATCTGGATCGTGAACCGATTTCGAAGTCTACAATCCAGAAAACGGTCAGACGATTTGAAACAAGATCCGTCAACGACCGACAACGCATTGGCAAACCAAAATTAGCGACAAATTTGGATAAGAATTTCGAAGTGATACAAACATTCGTTGAAAATCCTCATTCTGCTTTGAGGAAGGCAGCACATGAGATTAGTACAATGTCCATTCAATGTATTTTTGTGAAAGAGAAATGGCATCCTTTTAAAATTAAAGTCACTCAGGAGCTATCGGAAGATGATTTTGATCGAAGAAATGAATTCTGTGACGAAATGATATGTCGATAAGATGATAATAATAACTTTTTCGATCACATAATTTTTTTCGACGAAGCTTCTTTTGAATTGAATGGAGCAGGAAATCCGCATAACTGCCGATTTTGGAATGATGAAAATCCTCAATGGATACATGATATCCGCATGCAGTATTTCCAAAAACTTAACGTTTGAGCGGGTTTTTGCGAACGTGGTATTGTCGGACCATTCTTCATAATGGGAATTTGAACGCGGCGATCTATCAGGAGCTATTGCAAAATGAAGTCATACCCGCTCTTGAAAATATGTTTGATGGGAACATAGAAAATATTTGGTTCCAACAAGATGGTGCAGGCTCACATTATGCAGTAGCAGTACGGTAATTTTTAGATAATACTTTTCCAAATCAATGGATAGGAAGACGTGGTGAAATAGAGTGGCTTGCTAGATCATCAGATCTTTCTCCTATCGATTATTTTTTTGGGGGATATCTTAAAAATAATGTATATGAAACAAAACCTGCCAATCCTGCGGACCTTAAGGAACGTATAATACACCAAGTCGATTTTATTTCGGCAGAGATGAGACGAAATTTTTTAAATAATTTTTATCTACGGCTAGGCCATTGTCAAGCAGCAAACGGAGGTTAATTTGAACACTTACTCAACTAAACCACACACCCCTACACACACATACACACACGCACGCACGTGCGCACACACATACGCACACACACAGCAGAGAGGATTTGGAGTCATTAAATACTACGGGAGTGACGAATTGTGGGGTCCTAATCTTTGCTGTGACACACATATACATACACATACACAAGAGGTGTAAATCCGATCGTGCAACCTCCACGGTACACCTTGGCTAATGCCGGCGGTAACTTTTAAGCCCCATAACTCGGAAAATACTCAACAAAACATAACTTATTTATAGTGTTTTGGAAAGCTCTCGAGATGAGCTATAAGAATATGTAATGAAAAATAGGGAGTTCTATTTAGAAAAATAAAGTTGAACTCCGTATGACCTTGGAATATTCATTCAAGGTTAATCCAATGATACCACCTTATGTCCCCTCTCAAACCAAATAACTTTTGTCTGAAATATTTCTTTCTAAAATGCATATTTTATGAAATATTTTACCGTTTCCAGATTTTTGGTACATTCTATATAACGCATAATATAATTAAACATTTGAAAGCATCAAATAAATAGTATATATATATCGATAGACAATATCCAAAGTATATAAAAGAAGAAAACGAAATATGAAAACAAATATGAAAAACAAATATCTGTGATTTTAATAAAACAAAACATAAAACACAATATTTTCATGATCAAAGTAATCGTAAATACATACAGATAATGCATGTACTATGCACATTCAAACTAAAATTACGCCTATTCTTCATCATCATCCCATCCTCTAGAGTTAGTACTCCAATTAATATGTATAAAAGTCCAATTAATATATAAAAATAATGATTGCGATTTCTGGCAATGTGAGGAACACTTTTTAAGAAGAATGAAGTTACAGTTTCGGGCTTAGAACAAAAGGCTAAAAAGATTTGCTACACTTCCATCATGTTTTGGGGTTAAACGATGATCAAGAAATATTCTTCCGTATCAGCTTGCAATATCACGAACCAGCTGCCACCGTCCGAAGGAGCGACATTGCACTCACGTAGCATATTTTCATCCATAATGTGCCATATAGATCGAGTTTATCACGCTGATGCGCGTATCTCTCATGTATATCATGCCATTCGAGACTTTTCGACCCGGAGTCGATGAACCAAGACGACCATAAACCAAAACGCACCCCCAGTTCCCTCCGCCGTGGCTAACCCAGTGTCCCACGAACCTCTCCGTAGGACGGGCAGCTATGCTGCAGCTACGATTACGGTTGCGCTAGCGGTGTGGGCAACAACAAGCAACAACGTTCTCCAGTCGTTACTCCTGAGTCTTACGTACGCCATCCACCGGACCCTGTGGGGTTGCCGCTGGTCCACAGTGCACCGGAAACAGATTTATCAGCGGTCCTCGGCACATCCGGCACCACACGCACCACCGACACCACCGCCACGAGCACCACCTCCACCGTCTCGTCGTTCCCGTACCCGTCATCCTCCAGCATCAACAACGATAACCTCAGGAAAGCTCGCGCGAGCTCGTACATCTCGTACGGCACGCTACGAGTTCAGCAGGGAGACGAGCATCACGCCAGGTTGTATCAGCAGCAACAAGTGTCATCAAGCACGAGACACCAGCAGTCTGTCGGGGACTCGTCGACGTCGTCGACGGCGTCAAAGCGGTCCTCGGCGACGTCGGCGACGACGACGAGGACACCGTACGCGGCGTTCACCAAGGGCAGGTCGCGACGCCAATCAAGGAGCGCCATCGGCCGCCGCGGTGACACTTTCTCCTCTTCATCGTCGTCACCAACCTTCGCGATGCTCTTGGCCACTTCGGCGATCGACGAGTCCGGCCTGTCAACTGCGAACGTCGCCGCGCAAGTGCGCCAACTGGTTGACCGTCGTCGCAAAGGTAGCAGGAAGTCCGTTGTCCTCGACAGCGCCACTTGAGGGCCGTGGATCTAGAGGAAGATAGAAAAGGAAGAACCCGACACTTGGCAAGGCATTCTAGAGTGCGTGGAAGAGGGATATCGTCCCGCATAAGGGTGACCCATCGGCTCTCCCAATGTCGCCCGACGCGCGTCGTCCGTCTGTGTCGTCGGCGGGGAGAGTGAGAAGCGAGATCGACAGTTTACAAGGAGGAGCAGTAAGAGGAGGAGAAGGAGGAAGAAGAAGCAGCAGAAGCACGAGAGGAGGAGGAGAACGGGGAGGGAAGAAATCGACAGGACAATCGACGCTTGCGGAGGGTTGACGTCCGCTACGCTGCCACGAGGGAGACTCGTTCCTGCTTCCGGAGTTCGTTTCCCGGAACCTGTGCCCGGTAACCTCAAGGAGCGACGATCACCTCATCGACGGAGCTAGATCCAACCATCGTCGCTGTGACTTTGGCCCTAGTCCCTAGGCTCTAGATATTACCCCTAAGATCAAGAACGCCGATGCTGTCGAGCTCGCGCCATTTGCGATCGAGTCGCGGGCGAGGTCACGTACTCGCTGTAAATTGACGCACGTCGAGATCTGTCTGGACTTTAAGCAGCTTTACGAGCCTGATTTTCGGTTGTAAAGACGGTGAGTGTGTGCGCGTCCAGATGCGTTCGCTTTTCCGCTTGAATCGCTCGCTCGAGTTGCGGTGATCTGCGCCTTGATCGCCATTGCGAGAAGAGCGTCGAGACGCGACGCCGATCGCGCTTCGGGAGACAATCGCTGCGAGGGAGGAAGGAAGACGGAAAGAAAGATAATAAGCGACACATTGTGCGATGCGATTTGAATCGCGAGGTGGAATTGAGTATTTTATAAACGACTCACTTTTTCAGATCAGTGAATTTGAATCCGGAAAAGTCAATATATGCAAGTTTAAAAGTTTATTATCAATTACGAGATGCGCTTGAAACTTCGAGACCAACTTTTAGTGTCATTTTATTATCATACGTTTATAAATGTGGACAGGAAGGTTTTATTATTTTTAATGCGAGTTTCAGAATGCAATGGGAGAAATCTCCCATTGGACTAAATTAATGTATTCAGAAATCCACACAGAAAATAGCGGATAACCTTTCTGTTTGTAATTGTATAGTTCATATATCGATTTTTGAGTGATCCATTTTCCCACTTCTTCGAGTATACAGTGAAAAAATTTGGTTGTTGCTTTATACAATTTAATACATATGCGTAGAATTTTTGGAGGGTAGATTTGAAATAATGCGTCGAACAGTTGAAAGCTATGTTTTTGTGATTATGACACGAGTTTATAATATTATTATTGCACAATATTCACGAGACATTTTAGTGATGAAAACAAAAACGTTATTATCTAAAAAGAAAATATAAAATAATTTACGATCGGTATGTCGGTGTACAGAAATTATCATGGACTTTAAAAATCTCATTATCACATTCATTGTTATTCTGTGTATTTTATCGCATTAGTTCTAATGTCCAGTAACATTCCAGTAAATATTTTGATAAAATCAATAAATTTACATTACACAATAATTTACATTACACATACTACAGACGGTACTTTCACACATAATGTAATAATGATCAAATATGCGACAATATTTTGACATTTCTGTTTATAAATTGCTTTTGTATATCTCATATTTAAAAATGTGACGACTTTCAAATCTCTCAGTGCACAATTTTGTAGTCTCATTAACTTCGCATGTTCATAAACCCGTAAAAATAAATCGTAAAAATAATGTCGCAAACTTTACAGACGTGATTGTACATCAAACTTCACATCAATGTAATTCTATTTTCTAGCGTAGAGACATTTGAAATTATCGGTCAGGCCACCATATTCAAAAATTTATATATTACTTTTGATTAATAATAATTGATTAATAATCAATAATCATGACGTATAAATATTTAAATATGATGCACGTGACTAAAAATTTCAAATGCCGCTATGCTAAAGAATAGGAATGTATTTATAAAGCTTACTGTACACTTCTATGGTATGAAAATTAAAAAAATCGCAAACACTTGTGCGATGAATGCGACGAATGCAATTGTGCAATTAATAATACGACTCGTCAATGAATGATTACACCACGAGGAGCAGATGGCATGATAAATTGCTTGGTATAAGATATTTGGAAATTCTGAGCCAAGGAGTCTACTTTCCTCAGCATCGATTGTCGATCGAAATTATCGCGCGTCCTCCGTGGATCGAGCATGATCGAATGAACCGAGAACGCAGATTCGCTTCCGCAGAACTCCTTTCGCGTATTTGATTGAACAAGTAGCGCACAATATTTGGGCCTTATAAAGTATAAATTGTTGATGTTCCGCTAAACACGTAACTTGTATGTACTGTACGTAAGCGGCGGCGAAGCAGGGGCGATATGTATGTGTCGTAAGGAATTGATTCCCGACTAGGGGAGGATACAAATTGTAACATCTATATATATATATATACATATGTATATAGATGTGTATATAGTATATACATACACATATATACATATACATACACATGTATATACATATATATATATACACATATACATATGTATATACACATACACACATGTATGTATACGCATGTATGTAAGGAGTGGCTCATTTTATTTTATCTACTCAAATATCTCGAAAAATATAAAAAATACGGAGAAACGTTTCGGACAAAAGTTATTTGACTTGAAGAGAAACATAAGGCAAAAATATCATTTTGTTTATAGATGGCGCCATTTTTAGATATTCATTGATGATCATTCTCCTTAAATAGAAACCCCAATTTTTTATTATATCATCTTTCTCTATCAATTAATTTGAACAATTTTTGTCTGACATATCTTTTTGTTTGCCTAATATTTTTTGATATTTAAGGAAAACTTTGTAACTTTTCCAATATTTAGCTTATGATATCTCGCTAACTACTTGTCGAAAGGAAAAATGGTACTAAACTTTTTTACCCTATTTGGTCTCAAAAATATATTGTTACAATAGTGTTCCAACTCTTGTTAACTTGTTGATCTTTGGAAATTACAAAATCATCAAGTTAACAAAAGTTAATGCACTATTACAACAGTTTATTCTTGAGATCAAATACAGTAAAAAAGGTCTCTAGTACTACTATTTCTTCTGACAAATAATTACTGAGATATCATAAGTCAAATATTAAAAAAGTTACCAAATTTTCCTCAAACATCTGAAAAAATATTAAACAAATAAAAAGAATGTTTCACACAGGAGTTGTTCAAATTAATTGATAAAAAAGATAATATAATAAGAAATTGACATTTCCATTTAAGAATAGTAATGATCAGTAAATATTTCGAAAGTGACGCCATTTATAAACAAAATGATGTCGCTATCTTATGTCCTCCTTTAAGCCAAACAACTTTTATCTGAAATTTTTCTCCGTATCTTTTATATTTCTCGAGATATTTGAGTAGATAAATTAAAATGAGTCATTCTGTGTATATACAAAGTATATACAAAGTATATATATACACGTACGTATGTGTGTGTATGTATACATATATACGTACATATACATATATATATATATATATATATGTATAGAAGTAAAAAAGAATGTATGTATTATATTCTACCGTGTACGATATACGAATGATTCTCATGAATGCACCAACAAAACGGTGATCTCTGCAGATACCCCGACTGTCGATCGCTAGCGCTGGTCGACAATGCGGTCATTGACGCAACCAAGTATCTGCCATTATGGAGGATCATATCTCGCGACAATATAAGCGACGTGAAGCCCCGGAGCATATACAATCATCGTAGCGCGTGTCCGACGATAAAATAGTTACGCTTGAGAGAATAACTTTTAAGGGTAGTAAGATATAGGCACGACCTTACCTCCGGAAGAATTCCGATCCATCGGGGATCCGAGGATTCATGCTCTGCTCGGCTGGGCTCGGTCCGGTTCCCTCGCGTTATCCTCAGCCATCCTGCAAGGACCTATGCTCGATTCACGGCGCTCGGACGAGGCGTCGGACCGCGCTATCGAGGGACACAGTGACTTTGAAACTCACAGTCTGTATATGTATGCATGCGTATGAGCGTGCGTACGTGTATGTGTGTGCGTGCATGTGTGTGTATGTGTGTATGTGCGCGTACGTGTGTATGTCGCCGGTACAACGTGTCGCGAAGAATTTCGCCGCGGAATTTAGAAGCCATTCACCACGCATGACGATCACGGATAATAGAGCGTAGTAGTGTCCTGCTCTCTAAATTTCTTCGCGAAATCGAATCTCACTCGCGCGCGCGAAGCCAGTGAAAATTCACTTGAAACGATATTGAAAATATCACCTCTCCGAATCGCAAGAGTAAACATTTAATTCAGACTTGCGGTGGATTCTTGATCCACACGAGTGGGTGGATGGTTTTCCTTTTTATCAATCGAGCAAATTGTACGAAGTCAGTGCAATAGAACGAATTTGTGCTTGCACACTTATTGACAAAACAGTTTGAACACTTCCTTTTCTCCCATGGAAAATTCGGAGAAAAAATGTTGGAACCGTTTTGCAAACGAGTGTAAAATTCATCTTTCAACTTCGGATGGAAATGTTCACTCGACGATTCAGAGCGAAGAATTCACTCTGCATAGGCGGAAAATTACTCGAATTCAAGTTACTCGGTCGACACTCCGTTTTTCGAGCGGAGTTTCCCTCGAAATACATTTTAGAGAGTACTCGGCGCGTCTCTGCTCCGCGGGGTCGGTAGAAATAGCCGAGTGATTGCAGTTTGTATCAACGTCGCCGGGATACGTTGTGTCATTTTCCAGTGGTGTGCAATAGTCGTCTCTCTTCACTGAGCGCAATCAACGGTAGTTGGAAGAATGTATTTTCGTATAGAAGATGTACATTTTGTGCGTACATTGTACTTAGAAAGCCGTCGTACCGAGAAGGACTTGGCTTCGCGTTCTTCTCCGCCCTCGTGCACATAAATTGGCTGAAATCGTCGAACATACCTGTTGAAATCTCACACGACATCGACGGATCTCGATCTTCCGTCTGAGCGCTGATCCTAATAGCACATATTGTTGGGCCAATATTGGCTACAAATTGGGCTCCCAATATTGGCCAATGTAACTCCAATGTAAGTCAATATTGATATAACAATGCTATGCACTATTGGCGATATATTGTAATTTAATGTCTAACCAATATTAGTTGTATATTGGGATACATTGGGTCAATGTAGCCCAAATGTAAGTCAATATTGGTATAATAATGCTATGCAATATTGGTGATATATTGTAATTTAATATTTAACTAATATTGGCTGTATATTGGGATACATTGGGCCAATGTAACCCCAATTCATGTCACCGTAGCCAATGTAACGCCAATGAAGTGTGCTACTAGGGAAGTTTCGAGTTTCA